CAGGTCATGATCCCAGGGTCCTGGGATCGAGTCCCACATCGGGCTCCCTGCTCTGCGGGAAGCCTGCTTCTCCCTCTCCCACTCCCCACTCCTGCTCTCGCTATGTCTCTCTCTGTCAAATAAATAAATAAAACCTTTAAAAAAATATATATATATATCTACTTTTTTATTTTAATACTCATTTTCATTAATAAAGACTAATTTCAATAGATCTAAGTCTGTACCAACAAGTAAGAACAATATTTTATACCACTTCTTTACAATGAGCCTAGGTACTTGCACAACTTAAACACATGCTAGCACCCAATAAAACTAATATTTTTAAGAGGGAAAATACAAATCATATATATTTACTAACCTGCTATTTTGCCTAAAAAGATAGTCAAACACCATAAAAAGTCCTTTGAGCATTATTTGAGTTGAAGCACTAATAATCGGTACTACTCTTGCCTCCTCTTTACCATGCATTGGTAAGACTTTTTCTTCTTTTTGAAGGACAGCAGAAAAATGTCCCTATAAGAAATTACCATTATTAAGTACATTGCAGGAAATGGGAAGAAGAGGAAAACAAACTTCTTAAAATTATAAAACCCAAATGAAATATACACTGAAATTTTAGGCAAACACTATTAATATACAAGTACTAACTATGTTTTAAATTCCCACATAGTCCCTAGAACCCTACACAAAAGTACATCTTTAAGTCTCTTAAACCACCAAACATACATTTTACTTACCCATTCTCACAATAGTTATATCATAATTTTTACTAAGTCAATATTTTTAACAAAATTGTGATTATACATACATTGTTATAGCTAACCCATATAGAGTATACTATATTTCCTTTCTTTTCTAACATTTACTTTTTATTTACTTTTTCCTAGTGTTTATGCTTAACTCAACCTTTTTACTAAATTATCACTTGTTAAAAATGATAGATAGACAGACAGATAGACAAATTCCCATATATTCCTAAATTCTCTTCAGAGTCAAAGACACTTTAACAGTAAGTTATACATTTAGGAGGTTCACAACTTCTTCAGGCAATCAGGGTATTATTTAGTGCCTTTCAAAAGTAATGAACTAGGCACGCCTGGCTGGCTCAGTTGGTACAGCCTGCAACCTTTGATCTCAAGGTTGTGAGTTCAAGCCCTATGTTGGGCATGGAGCTTACTTTTAAAAACAAACAAACAAAAGGACTAAATACAAATGCACCAAATGGTTTTTCCAAAGAGCTTACAAGGGTTGATATGCCACCTAAATGCCTGAATTACTTCCAGGTAGTATTCCAATGATGAGAATAATATGACTGTATGACAAGCAAAAAATTTTAAATGACTCAAGGAAACAATACATGCTAAATACAAATGTATACTAACTGGCTCATTTGTTTTCATGTGGCTCGTAAGTTTTAATAAATGTTCTGAAGTCAGATAGCAGTGACAGTTGCATAATTCTGTGACTATACTAAAAACTACTGAATTGTATACTATAAGAGGGTAAATTTTATGGCATGTGAATTAAATTTCAATCAAGCTGTTAATAAAAAAAAAATGCTACACTGCAATTAAAAAGCATGTGAAAGGGGCATCTGGGTGACATTACTAAATGATGCAAGACTAGTAATATAGTCTCTTTTAAGTAGCAATAAGACCAGGATGTTTCACTGCCTGTGATAAACAATGCACTGGAAGTTTACACCAACAAAGAAATAAATAGAATGTGATGGAGTTGGAAAGAAAGAAAATAGTCATTACTTATAAACAGTATAATTACACGGAAAATTTAAGAATCCATAGACAAACCTATAAGATAGTTCAGCAAAGTGGTTGGTTACAAGATAAATAAAAATCCACTACCATTTTTATACAGCAATAACAACTAGAAAATGCAATTTTTTAAAGGTACCATTTGAAAAAGAAACAGAAACTTTAACTTACTTAGGAATAAATCTATCCAAAACACCTAAGACTTTTAAAAATAAAATCATAAAATTTTATTGACAGATATAGGATATAATAAATGAAGAACTTTATACATGTTGTCTGTGAATGGGAAAACTCCCGTATTATAAATACATCAATTCTTCCTAAATTCAGTGAAATTCCAACCAAAATTCCAACAGAATTTTTCATGGAAATTTACAAGCTAATTCTAAAATTCAGCCAAGATCATCCCAAAGGAAAAGAACAAAGTGAGGAAATATGCACTACCATGTATCAGCATTTTTCTCATGCTAGAGTAATTAACAAATACGAGTTTAGGTCACAGAACAAAGTCCAGAAATTCAAAAATAAATGAAAATCAGGTATGTGGTAGGAAAGGAATGTCATTACAAATCAGAAAGAAATGAACTATTTAGTAAATGATGCTGAGAAGATGATCCATGCAGGAAATCAAATGGATTCCCAACCTCACAACGTAAACAAAAATGAATCTTCAGCTGATTTTATCAAGAAAAAATAACACTTTTAGAAAATGTAGCACAAGATAAGGAAAGACTGCTTAAACTCAAATACAGTTCATAAAAGAAAAAACACTAATAAATTTTAATACACTAAAATAAACTTCCAGAAAAATACTCCATAAATAAACCACAAGACACAAGAATATACATGCAATGCAATAAGCAACAAAGAATTAGTATTTAGAATATATAAAGGAAATAGCAAAATACACAGATATATTTACAAGGATGTTCATAACAGAATTGTTTCTTATTCTGGGTAAGCTAGCAACAACCTAGATTTCAAATGCCAGATTAATCAAGTAATTTAGAATATGTGCACTCACAAAAATGCTACACTGCAATTAAAAAGCATGTGAAAGGGGCATCTGGGTGGCTCGGTCGGTTAAGGCTTCAATTCTTGGTTTTGGCTCAGGTTGTGATCTCAGGGTCGTGATTTGGGAGTCCTGCATGGGCTCCACGCTCAGTGCAGAATCTGCTTAAGATTCCTTCTCCCTCTGCTCTCTCCCCCCCCAGCCCCCATTCTCTCTAATAAATAAATATTTAAAAGAGTAAAAATCATGTGAAAGAATCTATTAAAATAGTACTTGTAGGGGCACCGGGGTGGTTTAGTCATTTAAGCACCCCACTCTTGATCTCAGGGTCCTGTGACCAAGCTCCTGACAGGCTCCATGATCAGTGGGGAGTAGGCTTGAAATTCTCTCCCTCTCTCCCTCCCCAATGCTGGCACATGCGCTCTCTCTGAAATAAATAAATCTTAAAAAAAAAAAAAAATACTCATAACATTAAATGAAAAGAGGCTGCAAAGAAATATGCATCATATCAGAAATCTATGTCAGGTAAATATATTCATAAAATAAAATACGTGGATATAAATCCAAAAGTTAATAATGATCATCTTTAAGTTGATGAGTTTTCTTTTTTCTTTGTGCCTTTCGTATTTTCTAAGTTTTTTTCCTTTGACATATATTTGTACATTTTTATTAAATTATAATATATATAATGCACTAGTCATAAGCATACAGCTCACCTTTAAAATGTAAAGTTTATGTAAAAAATCAGGGAAAGATGTCATAATATGGACAATACTTACATTACTACATTGCATTTTAAAAAATGCAGGGCAAAAATTATAAGTATAATCCGATTAAAATACATTTTCAATATTCATATGCCCAGAATGCTAGTGGTGATCATGGTAGCCATAGTTCCTGTTTTGGTTCAAAAACCTCTTTAAGTCCATATGAGGAAAATTACAAAACTCTGATAAAAGAAATCAAAGATCCAAACAAATGGAGAGATACTCTCTGTTCATAGATAGGAAGATTCAATATTGTTGAGAAATTCTTCTTGTTGTTGTTAGTTCTTCCTAGTTTGATCTATAGATTTAATGCCATCTCAATCAAAATTCCAGAAAGTTACTTTGTGGATATTGACAAACTGAGTCTAAAGTTAATTTGGAAAGAAACAAACCAGAATAATCAACACAATACAGAAGAAAGTCAGAGAACTGATACTACCCAACTTCAAGACTTACTATAAATCTATAGTAATCAAGATAGTGTGATATTAGTAAAGGAACAGGAAAATCAATCAATGGAAAAGAACAAAGAGCCTAAAAATGGACCCACAAGGATATAGTCAACTATCTTTAACAAAGGAGCAAAGACAATCCAATGGAGAAGGGTGATCTTTTCAACAAATGGTGAGACAATAATTGGACATCTACATGCAAAGAAATGAATCTGGATACAGACCTTATATCTTTCACAAAAATTAACTAAAAATGGACCACAGACCTAAATGTAAAATGAAAACTCTAAAACTTTTAGAAGAAAAGACAGAAGAAAATCAAAGTGACTTCAGGTTTCGTGGTGAGTTTTTAGACACAACACCTAAAGCATGGTCCATCGAAGAAAAAATTGGTAAGCTGAACTTTGTCAAAACTAAAAACTTATGTTCCATAAAAGACACTGTTAACAGAATGAAAAGAAAAGCCACGGAATGGAAGAATCTATCTGCAAACACGTATCTGATGAAGGACTTGTATGCCAAATATACAGAGAACACGTAAAACTCAACAACAGAAAGACAAAGAACCCAACTGAAGAGTAGGCAAAAGATTTGAAGAGACATCTCACAAATAAGATATATAGATGGCAAAGGAACTTGTGAAAAGATGTTCCACATCAAATGTCATTAGGGAATTGTAAATTAAAACAATAATAAGATACTACTACTTATCTATTAGAATGGTTGGTATTCAAAACCCTGACAATTCCAAATGTTGGCAAGGATGAATGTAAAACAGCACAGCCACTTTGGAAGACAGCAGTTTCTTGCACAGCTAAAAACAGTCTTACCATACGATACAGTAATTGTACTAAGTATTTACCCAAATAAGAAGAAAGCACAACCACATAAAAATATACACACAAATGTTTATAACAAATTTATTCAGAACTGCCCAAACATGGAAGCCACCAGTATGTCCTATAGTAGGTGAAAGGATAAAGAAATGGTGTGCATACATACAATGAATATTGTTTAGCAGTAAAAAGAAATAAGCCATCAAGCCATAAAAAGACATGAGGGGAAGGCGGAGCAAGATGGTGGAGGAGTAGGAGACCTGGATTTCGTCTGGTCTCAGGAATTCAGCTGGATAGG